AAGTCGCGGTTCGTACTTCTGTTTTTGTTCTCAAGGCCACGGGTTTGATTCCAGACCTGCAGGACAGCTTTAACGTCAGTGGTTCGTGTTTTGCTTCAACCCCCAAAGAAGTTTCTTAAACTTTTGCTGTGTCATATTCTTCGGGGGTGTTTGTCCCTACGTGGATGATGATCTGTCTTCACCTCTTCTTGTGATCGCTTTCACAACACACGGAGCTTAGGCAGTTTACTTTAAAAGGGGCGTTGCCAATATATAAAAAGGAGGGGAAGCTGAATATAAAATTCTTTGGTAAGAGGATGTGAAAATTAATGGAGTTTGCAGAGGAATGACAATTCATTTCAGTGTACCGTTAGCTATTTGAGCCCCAGAAGGTCTGATGGGGAGATCCGAAGCCGGATGGAGGCGAGTTGTTCTCGATGCATTTTCTGACCGAAAATTGACTTGAACCTGTGGAGGTCTACGCATGGATTTAAAGACTTCCCGGTCTAGAGGCACAGATTCTTTCTGCTCGCGATGTCCTGGTTACGACGGAGGAATGCTAACCATTCACCCGCGACCTCCGGTATTGTCTGAAAAGCTTTAAAATGCAGGTTGTTATTAGAGCCATCAATAACATTTTTCGTGAAACCTGTTGGAGCTTACAGGGTGTTCTTGTACAAAGAATTCTTTGGTACGTCACATAAGGCGTTAGGCTTCGTACGTGTGTTCTTCGTAATCTTTGAGACTTAATATTTTCGTCAGTCATTAGGTCTACAATTCATGAAAGTTTTTACTCATTTCTTAGCAAAGCTCCAGATGTAAACTTTTTCAGAGATTACAACCTTAACTTGCTTAGAAACCACGTAACACTTCGAAGTAAGTTTGCTGGTGTTGTTTGTCTTGGAATTTCAAGGTAGACGCCATAACCAGGGAAACAAAATGAGCCAAAATCTTCTATCTGCGTGGTGTTGCATTTCAAACGCCATCCTGTGTGACGCATTGCTTTGTAATTGTGGGAACAAAATATTTAATAATCGCTTGTGTTTGCTGCTCGCTGTATCTCTAACCTTGCGACGTATGTCTGTATCTCTCACATCCCCCGAGGAAGTTTCGTGGAATCTGCATCTGTAATTTCTGTATTGACGTGAGAGGAGCAGAGTTAAAAAGTACCGAACTCTGGGGGCTTATAATAATTAGGGTGGAAAAATGCAAGCAAATTTATCAGCTCCTCTCCACAAGCTGCAGACTGTTCTCGTTTGTTACTGAGCTTTTGAAATTTTGTGGCGTAGACTGAAAGTAATTACGGACTTCGGCTCGAACCTTCATTTTTGCGTCATTTAATCGCCCTTTGAAACTGAACATTTTGGTTTTTAATAACAGATTAACTGGACTTTGAAAAGAATATTACTGAGGCAATATTCGGCACTTTGATCTGACGAGTTTCTGTTGGCATAAGCGAACAATGCGAAACGTGGCACTCAAATTTGTTTTATTAAATGCAACGTGACACGTGGCACTCAAATAATATCTTATGACTGTCACTTCTGTTGATATTTATAAAATAATCGTTTCGAATACTAACTTATTGAGATGAATAAATTAAACAACTCGACTGTGTGCAAGCAGCAACGAGTGATATGTCAATGCTGTTTCTCCCAGTAGTCAGAGCTTGTAGATTTGTAGATCGTAACGTTTCGGAGGAAAATACTGCCTCCATATTCAGTACGTAATCTTAATGCAGCTTTTGCTGGCCTGTGTTGGCAGAAATGAACTCAAAGGTGCGTTTCTATTAATAATCGCTTTAAGGAAAATAATTTAGACCTTACAACAAGACACGAAGACATATAATAAAGAGACGTGGAATAACGGGCAGAAAGTTGTATATAAATATAATAAAGTCAATGTAACGGATGAAACAAATGTCGTACGTCATAATAATAGGCGTAGATAAAATGGAACTAAATAAAGGGAAGGAAAAAGCCCCTCGGCTGAACAACATCAGGAGCTGGGAATAGGAATTTTTTGTGTGATCCAAATTTGACTGCCCTGTTTGCTATTCTTCTTTGTTGCTTTATTTTTGAGTCACAGTTGGGTAGCTATCGAAAAATTTGCGACATCGATAATCGTTGTGGCGCAACTGTTTCGTGCTCTCAAACACCAAAATTAATAATTTATTAGAAGAGTCTCCCATTCCAGCGAGACATTTCGCTTATGTTAATCGCGAAACATTTATTCAGAGCAGTTCTGTTGAAAAAATGAAAAATTACGAATTTGGTGATTGCCCAAACGGTCACAAATAGAGTGCGTCTGCAGTGAAAGTGTACTGAAGAAAAGTGTGCCTCGGGAGAAACACTATCTGTGAAAATAAATGAAGTTTGGAAACTTCATGGAAGGAAACTTACGAGAGTTGACGATTGTCAAGAACGGATTTGAGTTGTTTCTGGCTGCTGGAAAGTGGTTGTAACTTTTTGACTGCGGGAGAAGGAAAGGAAGCCAAGTTATAAGGAGTTCTCAGGTGGGTTTCAGCAGCAAAGTTTGGTTCGATTCTCTGCAGATAAAAATGCCACGTCGGAGGTCTCATGATGTAAAAAAATTGCTGGTAACCTACTTTAAAAACAATTTAACTCTATACGTGCGATAGGAATTACGAGAAAAAGCTATTTAAATATACCTCCGAAGTGATATTGGCACCACTGAAAACGCTTTCAGATGTAAACAGTATGGACATGTATCATCTTTGCCCAGTGATTTGCACTGTGTTGGCAACACTGTGACACGTTCAGAAAATGAGTCCTGCAAACAGTTTTAGCTCCATCCATCAATGTGTCAGTTATTCTCCACTCTGGATGAACTGGTCTCTCTTAACAAGTCCATTCAGCGTTTCAACTCAGAAGACCAACTTCGACATCTTCAGGAGTGTGAGAACCTCACAGCTGACAGTTTGAAGTTAATTACAGGAGCATTGCATTTCCTTTAACGTTCTGTGGGGCTTCTCTGAC